AGAATACAGTCTGCAGTATGGATTACATCTCAATATAAAGAAAACAAAAATCCTCACAACTGGACCAATGAGAAGCATCACAATAAATGGAGAAAAGATTGAGGTTGTCAAAGAATTCATATTGCTTGGTTCTATAATCAACGCCAATGGAAGCAGCAGTGAGGACATTAGATGATGTGTAGCACTGGGCAGGTTGGCTGCGAAGAAACTGTTTCAATTGCTGAGGAGCAAGGATGTCTCCTTGAGGACTAAGGTGTGCCTGACACAAGCCATGATATTTCCAGTTGCCTCATGTGCATGTGAGAGTTGGACAGTGAGTAAGGAAGACAGAAGAAGAGTTGATGCTTTTGAGTTGTGGTGCTGGTGAAGAATGCTGAAAGTACCATGGACTGCTAAAAGAGCTAACAGATATGTCCTGGAGGAAGCACCTGAAATGCTCCTTGGAAGCGAGAATGGTCAGACTTCATCTCACTTACTTTGGTTATGTTGTCAGAAGGGACCATTCCCTGGAGAAGAATGTGGTGCTTGGTAAGGTGGAGGGTCAACGAAAGAGGGGGAGGCCTTCAATGAGATGGATTGACAAAGTAGCTGAGACAATGGGCTCAAGTGTAGCAGGGATCATAGAGCTGGTGCAGGATTGAATAGTGTTTCATTCTGCTGTCCATGAGGTTGCTATGAGTCGGAAACAACTTGACAGCACCTAACAACAACAACAAACTGACAGGGTATTATAAAAATTTTATATTCTTTTATACTACAATGCTCATTGTAGTTTCAGTCAGATTTCAAAATTTCACAGCACAGTTTTCAATTCTTTGCACTTTTAAAACCTTCATCGAAGCCCTTTGTGGACTGCTTTATAACAGTTATGAAAAATAATAATATCAAAATGTTAGTGTGATATTGCTAAATCATATTGCTAGTGAGAAAATTTTACCTCTACAATTTTAGTTGCAGTAAATGACCATTGTTTATTGAGTTGCTCCTTTTTACTTATTTATAATTAAATACATAAAAAAGAGACTACAGTCTCTTCATAGGCAGAGGATATCCAGCTTTAAAAATCGATTCCATTTTTTAAAATTCATTTAATCCAGTTTGAAACTGAAATAAATTATAGAACATACTAAAGCTTTACAGTTTCTATTACAGAAGGATGTGACCAAAAGTTTCCTAAATGTTGGTGGGTTTTAGGCAAGCCTCATTCATTCCAGCACCAACCATTACTCACAGATACCCAGTGTAACAAGGCATTTTTTTGCCTTTGTCAAGGGTGAAAGAACTTTTCTGTGCTCATAACAGTCTCTCTTGCATCTGAACACTTTGCCCATCATGGCTGTAGAATTATTCCTCCCTCAAAGCCCTTAGACCTATACCAGGACTATGCAAGACAGCTAGGGTAGGTCTTCTAAAGAGGTGCCATGTTGCCTTTAAGTTTTGCATTTCTGTGACTGTGTCTTTGCCATTTGCCATCAAGTCAACTCCAACTTGTGGCAACCCCATGTGCGTCAGAGTACAAATGGCCAATTTTTCAGAAGTGGATCATCAGAGCTTTCTTCCGAGGTGCTTCTAGATGAACTCAGACCTCCAACCTTTTGGTTTGTGGTTAAGCATGTTAACCAGTTGCACCACCCAAGGACTCCACATTCCTATTTAACCTCCATATCATCTCCACCTGGCAGCCATATTAAAATTGAAAGTTCAAAGGGGTGACCCCACAGCAAACAGGAATTCACATAAAAAGCAAGGTTTATGGTGTTTCTGAAGAAATCAGAGAATCTGGCCCCACAAAACCCATCCTCTCTATTGCCAATAGAAGGATGGCACTGAGGTAAGGTCATCCTGTTTGAACAAGGCACAGCCCTCCATTTGCCACTGGGCCCTTGACATGGAGGACAAGTATGTATCCTCATTCTTTATTGTGCTTTTCCTGTTGTCTTCCTTTTATAGAGAAATGTTCTCACCCATGTCTGTGACAGAGCGGGAAGATAGAAGCTAGACTGAGAGGGCTTTGTTTCAAAAAGAGATGTTTTTTTTTTTTTTTTTTTTTTTGACAAAGTAAAGAATAAGCAGTATGTTTCATAAGAGTAGTCCACTTGCCCCATTTTCTGTCTAGCCCCTCTATGCACTTGAATCTCAACTCCTAATAAAATTGTTTCTGTGGCAGATTATTTTTTTACCAGCAACAGCCAGAACAAATCCAGTCCCAGGTGCTCTTCCAGAACCTTGTCACTCCTGCAGGAGAGGTAGGGTCTAGGTTCCCTCCCCTTGATCCTGGTTAGTCCTTTATGACTGACTCCATGAATAGAATATAGGAGACAAGATATTTCTTCACTTCTAAGGCTAACTTAGAAAAGAACATGGAGCTCTCTGTACTGTTCTTCTCTTGGGACACTTGTCCGTGGAACCCAGCCATCATGTTGTAAGGAAGTCCATCCACATGGAGAGGCCATATGTGGGTGTGCTGACCTATAACCCCAGCTAACATCCCAACTGACAGAATCAATTGCTACACATATAAGTGAATCACCTGGGTGGTTTTAGCTCCCAACCATCAAGTTGGCCCCCAGCCTTCTAGGCTTCTCTGATAAGGCACCAAATATTATAGAACTAAGACAAACTGTCCTCTACCTTGCTTTGGCTGAATGAATGACCTACAGAATCTGTGAGCATAATAAATTGGCATTTTACACCACTGAATTTTGGGATAATTTGTTATGCAGTATTAGTTAACCAGATCAACTGCCTCTGATAACTGTCTCTAAGCTGTTGTTCTACCAGTTGTTTTTTTTCCCTCTTAAAGGAGGATTGGTTGTATTTAGGGACAGAAAAACACATACCTATCTGGACATTGCTCTATTAACATTTTGCTTTTTTAAAGGAGCTCTGGTGGCATAGTGCCTAAGGCATTTGACTGCTAACCAGAACTTTGGCAGTTCAAACCTCCAGCCACTCCGTGGAAGGAAGACTGGGCAATCTACTTCCATAAAGATTTACCACTTTATGGAAAATCTTAAAGTTGAGGGGTCACTATGAGTTGGAATCAATTTGATGGCAATGATGTTTTTTTTTTTTTTAATCTGGACATTACTCTGTTTACATTTTGCTTTTGTTTGTTTGTTTTACTGTGTCAGCACTTCACCTATGATCAAAGAAATAAGCATTTCTCTGTCACATACTCAGGTCCCATGCCCTACGGGGGCTGATATTCGTCAACATCTGACCAACAGAGAGATTCCCAACAGTGGTAAGCAGCGGTACACTGACATAGTTCCTTGCAATCATTTCACTCTCAATGATGAGGAAGATTGTTCTAAGGCCCTGGCTTGGATTAAAAACAACTCCATCACTACAGAAGGTAAGGATGTTGTTAACTGTGCATCTTTTCAGAATTGCATTTTATTTTTATAATGAGTTTCATTCTTCAGCTAGTTTTAGTATATAATTAGTGCCTAATTAATTCCAACCAAATCATTCATCTGTCATGCTTTGTTTTCCAGATTAATTTACAACTTGTTGTCATTTTTGGATACCCAGCATGTTTGCTGGGGGAAAGGAAAAGCTTGAGATAGTTTAATTATCTGTAATTATTTTATTACACAAAATGAATATCAGAAGAGCAAAGCATGGCTAAAATCATTAACTAATTAAAGAATAATTTAAAAAGCACACATGCTTAGCAATTATATGGAAAATATGTCTCCTTTTGTGAAGCTGAAAAGACCTAGGAAGAAAAAGAAAGGTTTGCATCAGAAGTGCTCTTTTCTTCTTTTCATGATCTTTCTTGGTGTTGCCTTTACAGTCCTCCCCACAAATACACACATTTGAATCAAAACGAGAAAGTAAGACATTTGCACAAAGACTCTGACATTCAAAAGTGTTTTCTCAAGCATCTTTCTTGCTTGGTTTGTATTGAAATTATTTAAATAGTAAAACAACCAGAATGAGGCTTGGCTACACATATTCTTTAATTGAAACCAGGAAGTCAAATTTCGAAGATGACCAAACTAGTGTTTTACCTAATGCACAAGGAAGGTCAATGACTTTGTCAAATTACACAGCCACTTTATGGCAGAACTGGGATTCTAACATAACCCTTTGATTCAAGGATGTAAAAATCACTTTCATTGTTGTTCTTAGATGTCATAGAGTCGGCTTCCACTCCTAGTGATCTCATGTACAACAGAATGACACAACGCCCGGTCCTACACCAGCCACACGATCTGTGCTATACTAGAGCTCATCAGTGCAGCCACTGTGTCAATCCATCTTATCAAGGGTCTTCCCCCTTTTCACTGACCTTCTATTTTACCAAGCATGATATCTTTCTCCAGAGACTGGTCCCTTCTGACAACATGAACAAAGTAATAACACAAAGTCTGGCCATTCTCACTGATAAGGAGCATTCATGCTGCACTTCTTCCAAGACAGATTTTCTCATTCTTCTGATAGCCCATGATATTTTCAGTATTCTTCACCAATACCACAATTCAAATGCATCAATTCTTCTTCCATCTTCCTTATTCATTGTCCAACTTTCACATGCATATGAGGCTATTAAAAATACCATGGCCTGGGTAGTCACTTAGTCTTCTAAGTGACCCCTTTACTCTTTAACATTTTAAAGAAGTCTTTGCAGCACATATGCCCAGTGCAATATGTCATCTGATTTCCTGACTGCTACTTCCATGAGCATTGATTATGAATCCAAGTAAATGAAATCCCTGACTACTTCAATCTTCTCCATTTATCACGATGTTGCTTATTGGTCCAATTGTGAGGATTTTTGTTTTATATTGAGGTGTAATCCATACTGGAGGCTGTAGTTTTTGATCTTCATCAGTAAGTACTGAAAGTCTTCTTTACTTTCAGCAAGCAAGGTTGTGTATCATCTTCACATTACAGGTTGTTAATGAGTCTTCCTCCTATCCTGATGCCATGTTCTTCATATAGTCCAGCTTCTTGACTTGCTTGCTCACCATACAGATTGAATAAGTGTGGTGAAATGATATAGTGCTGGCCCACACCTTTCCTGATTTTAAACCATACGTTGTTGTTGTTATTTGCCGTTGAGTCGGCCCCAACTCATAGCAACCCCTCCTTGGGTTTCCGAGGCAGCATCACTACGGAAGTAGGATTGCCCAACCTTCCTTCTGAGGAGTGGCTGGTGGGTTTGAACCGCCAGCCTTCTGGTTAGCAGTCAAGTGCCTTAGGCACTATGCTACCAGAGCTCCTTACCATACAGTATCCCCTTATTCTGTTGATGACAGGGAATCCCTCTTGGTCTCTGCATAGATTCTGAAATACCCATTCTTCTCACTGTTATCCATAATTTGTTATGATTCACACAGTTGAATGCCTTTGCACAGTCAATAAAACACAGATAAACATCTTTCTGATATTCTTTACTTATCTGACATCAGCAATGATATCCCTCATTCCACACCCTCTTCTGAATCCAGCTTGAATTTCTGGCAATTGCCTATTGATGTACTTCGATGTACTTCTGCAACCATTTTTTCATTATGTTCAGCAAAATTTTACTTGCATATCATATTAATGATATTGTTCAATAACTTCTGCATTCTATTGCGTAACCTTTCTTCGGAATGGGCACAAATATGGATCTCTTCCAGTCAGTTGGTCAGGTAGCTGTCTTTCAAATTTCTTGGCATAAATGAGTGAGCCCCTCTAGTGCTGTATCCATTTATTGAAACATCTCAATGAGTATTCCATCAGTTCCTGGGGCTTTGTTTTTCTCCGAAGTTCCTTCAGTGCAGCTTGGACTTCTCCCTTCAGCATCATCTGTTCTGGATCTTATGCTACCTCCTAAAATCACTAAGTACCCATAAAGTAGGAACCAATGTGTAAAATTAAATATATTAATTTTATTTAATATATTTATTTTAATATATCAATTATATTAATATATTAACAACATTTTATAATATATTTTATTTTAACATAATTTATATTAATATTAATGTATTAAAATTGAGTTATTCTGGTTTTTGATGGAAGATTTAAGCATAAGGTAATTTTTTGTCAAATTACTACATTAAAATGTTATTAACATATTACTATATAAAAAATAATAACTGGATATCAAATGACATTTAATACATTACTGGCTTGAACTTGCTAATATATTATGGCTATTTATTTGTGTCTGAATTCATAAATGAGATTAGTCAGTAGTTTCCTTTTTAATACTTTCTTTGTCATGTTTTTTTAAATCAAGGATATGCTAGCCTTACAAATACTATTCAGAAGCTTTCCATATTTTGAGGGGATCTAAAATACCTTGCATTTCCTGAAGGTTGGACAGGAATAACTCATAAAACCCACTGAACCTGAAGCCTTTGAGCAGAAGTGGGCTATATTCAGTGGACCCAGCTTTAAAATTTTTCATAAATATTTTCATAATTGCCTCAGAATATGGTACCATATTATTTTCAGTTTTGCACTTATATATGTGTAAGCCTGTGTCAACACTTTAGTCACTCTTCAATCACTGCTCTGTGTCCAACCTAATCTTAGGGAATTCTCTAATCTAGGAATTAGCAAACTTTTATCTCAAAAGGGCCAGATAGTAAATATTTTAGGCTTTTGGGCCATATGTGTTCTTTCATGACTACTCAACTCTGCCATTGTAGCAAGAAAGCAACACATAAACAAATGCCTATGACTGTGTTCCAATAAAACGTTAGTTATAAAGTTAGGTGATGAGCTGTAGTTTTCAGAGCCCTGCTTTTATCCATAGAATTGTGACAAATAGTTTTCATTTTGTCAAACCCAAACCTTGAAATGTAACTTAAAAAACTCATTGTCATCAAGTCGATTCCAACTCATAGCAACCCTATAGATTAGAACTGCCCCATAAGGTTTCCAAGATTGTAATCATTACAGAAGCAGATTGCCACATCTTTCTCCTATGGAACAGCTGGTGGATTTGAACCACCAACCTTTTGGATAGTAGCTGAGTGCTAAGCTCCCTGAAAGCATGAAAGGCATTGCTTCCATACAAAATACACAGTTGGTCTTAGGAGTGTGTCTAGCTATGCTAGAGAGCAGCATCTTACCACTGATCTGTTGGCTGTTCTGGGTGTTAGGACTGAAGAGCATTTTGACCATGAAAAGGGCCTTTGAAGGTGGCAATGCAAGTTCTTAAGGTTGAATGTTGATGACAGGGAATCCCAAGGCATGAAGCATGGTGATCTCCTCTGTGTGTCCCCTCCTTCATCCTCCTGGTTCTCAGATGTGGGAGAGTGTCATTTCTATCTGGCTGATTTGACTGTTCATCACAGATGTTCATGCTCTGATGCCCATTTACAGGGAGATGGCTTTGCATTTAAGAAAGTCTCCCATAAGCCATGGCATATAAGCCCTCTGGTGCCTGCCTTTGTCCTCTCAACAGCCAGAATAAGAAGGATGTCAGAATTAGTGTCTTAAGTATAGGACTCAGTGCTTAGAGACATTCTCCAGGATACCCTCATAGGGACAGGGCTCAGGAGCATCTGAGTGGCCCACTTTCATTTCCCTCTCTGGAGAGTTGTTATCATTGTTAGGTGCCATTGAGTCCATTCCAACTCATAGCAACACCATGTACAACAGAACAAAACACTACTTGATCCTACACTATCCTCACAATCTTTGCTATATTTCAGCTCATCATTACCCTTTTTTGCTGACCCTCTACTTTACCTGTAGTATGCAAATGCAACAATGCAATGCACTGCCATGGAGTCAGATCTGACTCACAGTGACCCCTCCTTGGGTTTCCAAGGTGGTATCACTGTGGAAGTAGTTGCCCAACCTTCCTTCCAAGCCTTCTGGTTAGCAGTCAAATGCCTTAGGCACTACGCTACCAGAGCTTTCTTACCTGTAGTAGCCCTTTCCAAATGACTTCTCATGCAAGAAAAGTTAGGAAGAAAAATATTAACTTCTTATCTCAGAGAATGACTTCTCAAGCAAGAAAAATTATGAAGAAAAAAAAAATTAACCTCCTATCTCAGAGAAGCGGGCTCTGGTAGCATCGTACATAAGGCATTTGACTTCTAACCAGAAAGCTGGCAGTTCAAACCCACCAGCCACTCCTCAGAAGGAAGATGGGGCAATCTACTTCTGTAGTGATACCGCCTCAGAAACCCAAGGAGGGGTCGCTATGAGTTGGGTCCAACTCAACGGCACATAACAACAACAACAACATCTCAGAGAAAACACTTTGTAGCTTTTCCACAATAGAGTTATATTCTGACATGAAGTTAATTTGTTGTTAGATGCCATGGAGTCATCTCTGACTCATAACAACCAGATGTACAGCTGAATGAAACACTGCTCAGCCCTGTGCCAGTTCCA